TGTATAATATGCTATACTCCTAGGAGTAAAAATCTCAAGTGTAACCCAAACGCTATATGGTTTTCCATTCACAAGCCCTGAAATACATCAAAAGTTATATGCTTACCGTTTCGTATATCCACTTAAAGTGGATTGTTTTTTCACATATGGATACACTAAACGGTCGAGCATGAAAAACACTCCTCACAAAAGACCCTTTTAGAACACCGTTACTCAAGAAGCAATAAACAAAATCCCGTAATAATAATGGCTCCACCATTGTAAATATGACAAGTTGCACCGTTAATAAACTGATGATAGTTATGAGGGTGTAGTTTTACGAACGGTGTGTTATCCTCTGCACGTTTTCGCATCCTCTTCTGGTGATCAGTATTCACCTAAGAATGCAAAACAACGTATCGTTTGAGTTACACTTGAGATTTTTACTCCTAGGAGTAAAGAATGTTATGCGGAATTACTGAAGCCCTACGAGATGAGTCCAACGATTTGACTACATGAGCGCATCAACTAAACCTTCTCCAACATCCCCATATCATTTCACCCATGGAACGGTGGACGTTCTCAGGCTTCTCTTGATTCGACTGCATGTGTAGTTTCGACGTTATTACTATGCACATCGTTTGTTACGCTAACACGGGAATTCATCTATCTCAGTGGAAGTCAGCGATCGATAAGCCGCCCACTCATCACCGTAAATGGTCGTTCCAAGCATCACAGAGTTATTTGATGTTCCAGAGCGGATGGACATGTGCCTAATACACTTTTAACACTTTTAACCATTTCGGCTCCTTTTGTACTCCCGAACATGTATTATGTGGCCATACGCAAATGAGTTTTCTTTTGGAAGTAGTCCATGATCCTGCAGATACAGAACACGTGCCAAACCTTCGATCTGGTCCAGAGTTTTGTACAGATTAGAACGGCCTGTTATATCGTCAACGTCACTGTTGTGGCCTGCGCTCGAGTGAACGGTTTACCGCGCATCACGTGTTTGACCGTTTTGGCCTGCCACCACATGCACGGACGCTCGTTTTGCGGACTTACCCTGTTACAAGGTCGATCCACCTCAGCGAATCAGAGGTCAGTATTGATCTCTCCTCATTGATTGGTTCGTTGACTGCCCAGCGTGACGACACTCCTTTCGGTAAGACTTGCGCCAGTTTCTGTGCCTGCTTGTTTGCGTGTTGACGCACTGCTTGCTCACCGGCTTACGGACCGGCTACGTTTGCGTCTACATACTGAAAATATAATTACTTACTACTTAATTCACTACTTGCTTACTTATTGACTCATACGGGATACAACAGTCAGATCGTAAAAGAACACCACTTTTACATGAGTATGAATGACATAACTTGTCAACTTCCACCTAAGACCACGCAAAACTTCTAAATTCTTTACCTCGGCACGAAAAAGGGTAGCGTGTTAGCCAAAGTGGCCCTGAGTGGTGATATGATAGGGGCATAACCGGTCAACATCCGACCGATGAGAAACCCATAAACACCATGTGGTGGTGGTTTGCTATTTAACCCCATCGATTTCCTCCAGTAAACGAGTCGCTACTCCTGTGGAATTTTTGGCGCACGTTACCATTCGGCACCCCCC